AAACAGTCACCACAGGAATATTCGCGTTGACAATCAGTACATTTACTACAATCATGAGTATTGTGAACTAAACACTCATCGCAGTATCGATTCTTTTGACAATCAATACATTCATTACAAGGATGAGTATTCGATTCCATCTTTGAGTGAATTAGTTAAAACAAACGATAATCGTAGCGATCGCACACAGGACATGTCCCCTTATTTTTTGTGTAATCTTTCTAGTTGTTGATCATATAGTGAAAAGATTACACCAACAGATTCACCAAACTGGGCAAAGCCAATTATTTATGACATCCAATAAGTGTATAGACAAAGGAAGTTAGCATGCATGAAGCATTGGGCGTCCTTTTTCTGATAACATTCTCAATGTGAAAAACGGTAACGATGTCAATATAATATATACTATTTACAGTATATACTATGAATAAAAATAAAAATAAATAATGTTTTTATTTATATATAAATGAAATATTACTATTACTCTATAAAATACCAACCGAAGAGAAAAAATGAAAGTAGAGTGAAATCCAACCAACCAGAAGAGAAAAATTGAAATGAATAAATCGAAAGAAATATAGGTTCGCAATATTAAATTATTTTGTCGCGACAACTATAGTCAACCAACCAACCAACCAGATGAAAGAAGTGATGAATAAAAAATAGTTTGTTCTTTTTATCGAACTGTAGTAAACTCTATCAACAAATTCTTCACAAAGCGCAGCGAACTGATGCTAAGGCCTTCCCTCAACTTTTGATTCAAGTTAATCAAGGTATTAAACATGTTCTTCCACAATTAGTATTAAAAATTTGCGCGTGATATTGTTGATTTTGCACGTGCCTTTTTGAAAAAAAAAACTAGATATTCTATTAGTGAGGTAAGAAGTGCATAAACTTTTTTAGTAAACTTTTAATAAACAATTTTTATCATTATGCGTTAAACTAGTAAAATACCGCTCAAGTAGTATACTAAATCAAAAAAAAAAGAATAATGAATTAGCATACATGTACAATCGATTATAAAGCAACATTTTTTCTTACCGTTACCGTGAATGAATTAGGATTTCCTGATATGATCAGGAAACTTGTATTATATCTCATTAATCATATCGGACTACCCTAATAATAATCCTTTCAAGCCAAACATAAGATAAATAACAAAAAAACTTACCTTCATCCAAAAACTCACATGCCCTTTTCATCATAATGATAAAATAATTTATTATAAATTTGTCAAAAAGTCAATACAAATCTTACCTCGCCAATAGTCAACCTTTTTCAGAAAGATACGTGTAAAATCTAACAATATCGAGTTCTGCAAATTTTTAACCCCAATTGGTCCAAACACATCCACGCCAAGAAAATGAAAACCAAAAGATCGTAAAAGGTTTCAAAGCACCAACTGCTTTGCCAAGTTATGAATTCATGAAATTGAATTTGGTCAACAATTCAAAAAAAGTATCGTTTCTTATTTTTTACTCTTTCTTGATCGAGTTGGATAGTGTCTCGATATTTTTTCTCGAGCAACTTGTGCAGCTCGACGATCACTCTTTCTGGTGGTGGCGTTGTTGGTGGAGTTGTTGGTGGTGGTGGTGGCGTTGTTGGTGGAGTTGTTGGTGGTGGGTGCGGTGGTGGTGGTGGTGGTGGTGGTATTGTCGATAGGAGTCGGGTTGTCGCTTTTTCTTCTCTTACTACTTTCCTCTACTTCAATTTCAATTGGTCTTTTTTTGGTGGGATTGGTGGTAGGTGCGGTGGTGGTGGTATTGATGTTGGGAGTGTTGATGTTGGTGGTGTCGATGGTAGTGGTGTTATTATTCAATTCTCTAATCACAGCTCTTATATCCCCCCTATTTGACTTTCTACAAATACTGAAAACCGACCAAACATTGATTCTAGTCGTTCTTGATTTTGGTAAGTACCTTCTTCAAGAAGATCTTTCATAAACGATTGAGTTAATTCTCGAACTTTATTTAAGTTTTCAATAAATGTATTTTGTTCGATGATTTCATCTTTAAGAATAAAAGCTGCTTGATATAATAATGAAAGTGAAAAATGTATTTTTACGAGTTTTAAAAATAACTCATAATTATATTCGTTATTGTTAAAGTAATTGATATAATAATTAAATTCAAATACTGGAATCATTGGAATTTCTATTGCTATAAACGTAAATATTTGATAATTATGAGTATCGATATTATTAAGAGATTGTATTAAATTTTTTAGTTTATTGAATTTTTCTCTTTGTTCATTGGATGAATTGTTTTCTAATTCATTGAATAAATTTACGATAGTAATAGTGATAGATTCCATTTTTACAAAAATATGATTTGCTTTGTTATAAAAAAAAACGATAATGTTTAATCGTAAATTGTCTTTGATTAAAGGTTTGTTTAATATATAGCGAAAGTTAGTGATACAATCTTCATTTGGTTATAGGCTGTGTACGTCAGATTACAAAAAAAATAAACACTGAAAATGGAAGATAAACTCATGTTCCCTTATTACTATATTAGAAACAACAATACAAATGGCAATGGGTTTGTCGGAACAGGTGGAAATGTACCTAAAAAAGAAATATGTTACACAATTCATTAAAGTCATAATTTATACATTTTAAAGTACTTTTTCACGAGGCTTGTATAGCCTATTCATCCTATGAAAGGTGATGGAAAATTCTTTAAAACTTGAAGTTCTTGCTCAGCCATACAGGAATATTTAGTTAATCCACCTTAATCCAACAACTTATATTAGTATTAAGTATGTCTGAAAATAAATATTATACAAATTGTCTTGCTACCCAATCTTCTAGATTCCATTCATTGGGTAAAGAAAAATGGGAAAAGATTGTGGCTTTTGGTCTAGCAAAGACAATGTTGAAAGAAGACATTATTTTATGCCATAAATGTTATATGGATGAAGTTGTAAATCCATTAGAAAGACTAAAAAAAAGTAATAAAAAAGCAAAAAATATAGATGATCTAGAGAAAAAGACAGATATATCTAATGAGACAGATAAGTTTGACAAAAAAATTGAGCTCTCTGAAGCTATCAAGTTGATGGCAAAAATTCTTTATGAAAGAGAGCATGTAAAAAAGAAAATATAATTTATATATTTGAAGAATTACGAGAATTACTAGTAAAAGATGAACCTAATCTTAAGTATTTTATTGAGCAACTTTATTTAGCAGCTAGATCATCCACATGTACCAAACAAACAATGGACCATATGAAAAGAATAATGATGTTTATTTGTTATTTACTTGCTTCTTTAAATAATACTAAAATTAATTTCTTTAAGTTTGATATTGCATTTTATTTAGATTCAACAGAAATAATTAAAGAAGGCTTAAATATAATAGCAAATATTGGTATTACTATAACGTCACAGGCAGTAGGTCAGTATAAGAGAAAAATATTAGACACACATGAAAAATATATAGATAATGCTCTTTTTCAGCAATCAGAGAATGCACTCATGCTAAATATTAATAACTATCATAATATCCACATCTCACAGCAGTCTAACACTACAGATACTTCTAGAACAATACATATAACAATAATTTTAATAAATTCATGCTTAAGACCTGCAATATTGTGTAATGGAATAGTTAATCCAAGATTTATAGATAACTATTTAATTATGAAACATCTTGATAAATGATTTATTGTAAATCTTGGTGTTTCATATTATGATCAAATGTGAAGTAGAGAACAAGCATATACTGATGAAGAAGTATTAGATAAACTAACAGTTCATAGTTATGATGATAGGCTCACAGAAAAAAAGAATGATCAATATATTTGCAACTCAATTCTTATTAATTTTATCAAAAAAGAATTAAAAAATATAGAAGAATATGTTAATGCTCTTCGAATTATATATGATCAAGAGCCAATGTAAATATATCTTTCTAATTATGCAGTTCTTATTATCGTGGATTGGCCTGGGTAATTTTTTATTTGTAAAGCCATTACACAATAACTCCTTCTCAATAATGAAAGTATTTCTTAGTTTGTTATATCATTTTTATCTATTTTGGAGCCTCTTTATGTGTCTTTAAATTCTCGTGAGCTTGTTTACAAAAAAAATTATTTATTATTTAGTGACATCTATAAGAATGTATTTGGGATGAAGAAGAAACTCAGCCAGAATCCACGATCATGGAGAATTAATTTAATTTTCTATATTATGCACTTGACATAGTCTAATATTGCAGATACAGTTTATTTGAAATTTAGATTTATGTGTAAAAAAATAGAGTTCTTATATCTTACTGATTTATTTAGCAATTTAGTTCTCTTAGTTCTTGATATCTATGTTATATATCATTGGAGTAAAGATTGGCCATTATATGAGAAAGTATGTATGCATTGTTGGAGTGATCTTTTTCTATGATTCAATTGAAGAAATTATAAGCATGTCCCCTTAATATTTTTTTCAAATGTTTTTTATTGGATGGAAACTGGACATTCAATAATGAATTTAATTATTAACCATCTTGCTTCTCTTAGTGATAGTTCCATTGAAGTTGTCTATAGCATTATTCGAAGATGTACTATTAAGTATCTTATAACTGAGTAATTACAAAAAGAGGCACATTTCATTTTCTAACAATGATAGAATAATACCTTTCAACAAAATTTTATACATTCTGTGAAGTATCTGTATACACCAAAACAGTTAGATATGCTTTCTCAAAAATATTCCATATTGCTTTTGAAAATATTTGTGAAAGTATATCAGAATCGTGATAAATATTCTGTTGTTAAATCCATAAGTGATGATGATATTAATATATATGAATTATCTTCGTTGAGCTATAAAATAATGGATCATCACCTTCCAAGAGATTTTGTTATTTCTAAAAAATCTAATATGTCTTTTTTATGTGACTTATTATATTGCGATAGAACCTATAATTTGTCTAATAGCTCTGTTTTGGCATGTAGACATGGTTATCATAATCATTACTTACAAAAATCTCATTTTAAATGTTCTATTTGTTTAGGTTATCTTCAAAGTGAAATCAAAAAAAATGTTGATATGCTAATAGTAAGTATGACTAATAATATTATTGATATTGGAATATTTGATGATAGAAATAAGGATGAAGATGAAGATGATTTGGATACTACAGACAAAATAATAGGTAATGCAATTAATGTAGAAGAGTTATTAAAATATGTAAAATTAATATTCTTGAATTTGTAAATAAATATTCATAATTTTTAAATTGTGAATTATATTTTATCAGTTTTGTTCATCTTTGATTGTTCCTTTTCCATTTTCATAACATAGAGCAAGACTGCATTATGTGCATTAAGATATCCTGATTTTGCTGCTTTCAAAAACTATTCAAATGCTTTTTGTTCATCTTTAATTGTTCCTTCTTCATTTTTGTAACAAAGAGCAAGGTTATATTGTGCGTTAAGATATCCTACATTTATTATTTAACATTAATTATACGCTAAGGTGTCCTGCATTTATTATTTAATATTAATTATAATCATATATATCTCTACTATCACTATGTATAATTATTTAATATGTAAGCTATCAATTACATGTTAATTTGTGTAATCTTTGATGTTTCCTCCTGTTGTTTGTTGACAATTCCTTTTTGGTACACTCTCCTGACACAGATCATGGAACTTTTTTCTGAATATAATAATGCTTGATTTTTTCATAAAATTTCAAGTTTGAAATTCTCAACAATCTACATAGTAATTTATGTCAGATTTTTTTTATCAAAATATTACATTAATGAAGTTTATTTGACTTTATTAATAAAGTGTAGGATGTCTGTTAGCTTTAACTATAGCTTGAACATGGTGCTCCATACTTTTAACCAAATTTCTATAAACTGATTTATCTATGTTAGACCATTCCTCCTGTAACAGATTGAACAGTTCAGTTTTATTTTTTGGTAGAGAAATGTACTTATGAATATGATGCTCTAATTCATTCCAAATATTCTCAATAGAGTTAAGATCTGGACTTTGCGTGGGCCAGAGAAGTTGATCAATATTATTATTCAAAATCCAATACAAAGTTGATCTTGCTTGATGAATTTGAGCATTGTCATCTTGAAATACATAATTATTTTAATTATTCAACCCTCTTAAATAAGATAACAAATAGTTATTTAGAATATTGATGTAGTCATTTGCAGTTTGCCTACCATTAACTCGAACTAGAGAACCCAATCCAAATGAACTAAAATATCTCCAGACCATAACCCTCTTGTGATCTGATTTAAAGGTTGGAACTAAACAGTTAACATCATATTTTTCTTCAGATTTTCTCCAAATGTAATCACAATCATCTCTCCCAAATATTTCAAACTGTGATTCATCACTCTATATGATGAATTTCTATTTCTGCTTCTAATTAATTCTTTTTCGAGATCATTCCAAATGTAATTTATGATTTCTTTCATTGACAAAAGGTTTTCTCTTGTCAACTCAACCATAAAATTCTTCTTCATGCAGATAATATTATATAATATATGAGGAAATATTAGTAGAAGTTGACTTGATAAATTTATTAGTTAAATTATTTAAGAAAGCTTTTCAATCTATTTTTAATAAATGAATAAGATGATATATATCTTGTTGAGTTAGTTTAGGCTTTGGTCCAGAACGTGGAGGTGGTTTTATTTCACCAGTTTTTTTATAAGTGTTAATAATCTTGTAGATAGTAGATTTTTCAAATTTTAGGATATTTATGATAATAGAAATCAGCACTCCACATTTTCAAGTATTAATAATCTCACTGTATTCTTTTTCTGAAAGTTCTTTTCATTTTTTATCCATCACAAGTAAGAAAAGGATGATAGAATGTCTTGATTACACAATAAAAAGAAGAAGTCTTCTGAAAAAAGAGAAAAAAATTTTTGTACCACTTTATTTGTGCTAATCTGTAT